AAATCCCCAAAAAACTGCTTACACATTTACCTAGCTATCTAAACAAGGGCATTCCGGCACAAACTTCTACTGTTTATAAATAAAGCTAATTATGATTACAGCAGACTAACCATAACCCAAACCCTATTAGAAACCGTTTAGCCTTTTTACAGTAAAAAAAAAAATTACTTTTGCATTATTTATAAATGATTTTGACCTCTGAGGGTGTCCTGGACCTCCCCAATGGGAGGTTTTGTCAAATTTAGATAACTTCTGGGACAATTTTGTCCCTAAAGTATAACTAAGTAAACCCACCCCCCAGCAGCTGCCACTGCTCCTCTTCCGTCGTGTGCTCCAACAGACCCTACAACTACAAACATTACAGTCCTTAAAACAACACGGGCGCTGGGCTCGGAGCGCGTCTGTGCGTGTGAGAGCCGTTTGAGGAGGCTGTGAGAGCCCGGCGGTCATGCTTGGTCAGGGACAGACAATGTGCGTTTGTTACTTAAGCACTGTTGTTAATGAAGCTCCCCATGCGCACACACACATGGATGTACAATAAAAATTAGGTTGCATGCCAACCCCTCTCGCTTTCAATCTCTGTGTTATATAACGACTACAGAAATACGGTTTTAAGTTGCAAACTAAATCCCCGTTAAAATGTACATGCGTTATAGTTAGACTCTCAGGATATGGCATTAACAGAACGCAACTCGCTCACACACACATACACTGACAAACATCCACAACACCGTGAAATGCTATCAAGGTGGAACAAAAGCCACTTCACACACACTTCAGAGAGGAACAGGTCTGTTGTGGAAATGCCGGCTGAGACAGAGGGAAGTGTGTGTGTGTGAGTCTGCGTGAGTCCTCTCTTGCTGTTCAACATATTGAAACTCTGACAGAGTTAATCTCCTCACTGTCAACTCCTATTATAACACCACTGATCATGACATACACACACACTAACTCATGCATACACAAACACACGCACACATGATTCACGCCTACACACTCGTAAATGCACACAGACAAATGATTGAAAGTAACACGACTCGGAGAATAATTATTACTGCCGTGGATGACTGAATGAATATATGCCCAAACATGTCCTAAATGATCCTGACCAGTCACACATGAATCCGTTACTTTGATCGCAGTTGAGACCAACATAATCCCTGAGAAGGTCAAAGGACATTTATGTCTTTTCATGTCGTAATAATCAGACTCAAAAAACTTGCGTTCAGAAATTTCGACATTTTAAATGCGGCGAAGCAGTCAGCGTGTGTGTTCACAACAGGTTGGAATCGCTCAAAGAGATGCAGGTTCGAGTCTCCTTTATCGTGTAATTATTTCTTGAAAATCCAAGACCAACTGAAAACGGTTTCACCAAACTTTTATCAGTGGAACTTAAAGATATTTTCAAGACTGTCTCAACTGATTTTGTCCATACAATTAAAGTCAATGGGGTCCAGAACAACATTGTTTTGTTGTGGAAAAGAAAGTCACAATTTTTTTAGCCAGTTGATCTTTACATTTTTAAAGAGTGTTCATGAGCTAAACAGGATGTTTAACTGCTGCTTTAGACGGTTATATGTGCACATAGAAGTTGCTGATTAAGACTAATTGTGCACCACAGAGTGTTGGGTAAATGAGCGAACTTGTACGCTTGAATACACACTCACACACACACATAAGTAAAGTACTTCAGTAGCATTTTTGAGCTAATGAGAGACAGATTTCCAATTAGCTCCTCATCTCCTCCCTTAGCACTGGAATATGGCCAAAACACACAGTGACATTCATACATGTATCATGGATTCCCTCTTACTTTGTTCTTTCAAAATCCAAAAGGAATTTAGGTAATTTGCAGTCGTTCATCAGAAAATTGTTCCTAAACAGCTAGAGTGTTTTCTTGATAAGCGAGTGGCTGCCAAGAACTTGAATGAAGTAAAATTATATTAATTTGTAACTAAGAACTTGATGATGTAACTGGGAAGTAAAGAGAGTTCTCATTTTGTTGTTTATGTGTGTGTGTGTGTGTATAGTGTTTGACACATTAAGATGATAAGACATAACCTGAAATCTGTGCCTCAATGTGATAATTGTCCCAATGATTAGCTACTTTATTCTCTCTCTCTATTCCCAGCAGAATCCACTTCTCTTTTCTTCCCTCAAGGCAGAGGAAGGGAGGGGAGGGGTGTCGCTTTTACATTTTTCTCAGTCCAAATTATAGCTGTGAACCATGCAGATAGGAACAGAATTATACATCTGAAACCAGCAGTAAGTCTGTGTGTGAGCACGTATATGTGTAGTTGTGTCTAGAAGTAATTAAATTTACATAATTGTGTCAACAGAATAAATCAGTAAAGCTCTTGTTCCACCAAATGTTTCTTCCAGAGAAAACGCAGCGGTAGCTTCAGCATTCAGTAAACTTTGTGTTTTGCTGATATAAATATCAGAGTGCTGAGGGGTGGAGAACGCAGCCAGAGTTTTTCTAATTTTACAGTCCTTCAATTATATTTCGCATTCAGTCTGAGAGAGGTCTGACCTAAAACACAAATGGCACATTATTATGGGTAAGAGAGCTGTGTGTGTGTGTGTGTATGATGGCCTTACTGCTGAGAGTCTGGTAAGAGGTTTAAAGGGTGACTTGGACTTAGTGGTGGTGGACGCTCCCATATGTCCACTGCAGAGATAGAGCCCGGAGAGTGTGTTTGCCTGAGGCCCATATGCCTTTATGAGAGTGCTTAGGATAATCTTTGTGTATTGAGTTATTGTGCTGTGTTTTAATGAGATGTGGGATTGAGATATGCAGACATGTCTCTCGTAAATCTCAAAAACAGTCACTAACAAACGGTTCTGATATTCTTTTTCTCGACTTCACACACTCTTTCAAAGTCGATTCCTCTCAATGTACTGTGGGGGCCTCTGAACTTGTAACTAACAACACACACACGCTCATGCACAGGTGCATACACACACATTCTGTAAGTAAATAAACATTAAGTACTTAAAACAACATGCAGCAACTGTGATAAAACAGACCAGGCCAGTTTGAGCATCTGCTGTGCCGTGGAGCTCAAAGCTTTAACGGCAAACACATAGAGGCAAAAGCAATTGATCTGAAATTTTCTCTCGCAGGACGAAAAGCTCAAATGTGGCTGATTTTTTTTTTTTTTTGTTTATCTCTGTAATGGGTTTAGCTCCTACATAAAATAATACAATTAAAGTTAAAAAAAGAAGTATAATTCTATAATTTAGAATAATAATTAGTCTTGAGGAAGTGCTTTTGCATGTAGCAAGCAAGGTGTATTGTTTTTTTATTTAAAAAAAAAAAGATTCACTAAAATGAAAAAGTAATAAATAAATAGGCTATATGTAATGTCTGAATTAAGGAACTCTATTAAATTTCGTAAAACTTTAAGTATAACTTTAAAAAGTATTTTAAAACTTTATGCAGTGCTTAACATATATAGTTATTGCTGATTCATAAATGGTCCATAACATTTCTAACTGTTTGGATGTAAATTAACTAAAGATTTGCTACGCATTATATAATGTAGTAATGTTTAACTATATGAGTTTAAAGTTTTATAAAGTGTTGCCAATTTCTAAGCAGTTAACTGTTTAGTTTTCCCCTTTTTCCTTTCTTACTCAATTTTCGCACGAGAACTTTAAACATGAAAAAACAAAAACACCATACATTTAAGTTCATTCGTAATTTAGGGTGCGGTTTTAATTTTAAAAGCACAATTTATGATTTCGCGTCGACCCTCGGGTTCTCACATGCTAAAGTTTTCTAGTTTTTTGCTCATCTTTTACAAGCCCAACCGAGAGATCCTAATTAAAATATTCCCCTCGAGATGAAAAACACATGTGCACTATTCCTGTCCCCCTGTTTACGCTCATAACTCAGCGGCTGTGTCTCAAACCCTTTTGAGCTGCCTACCACAACGAGCCCATGGTGCCCAAAATGCTGTCTAGATGCCCCAAAACTGCTGGCAGTGTAGGCAGCCCATTAGGTTTTGAGACACAACCAGTATTTCACACTGCACACAAAGGCTCAAAACAAAGACAAACCATCATGTTAGTCAACTAAATAGTCCAAATAAAAGTAGCTTTTTAAAAATAAAAACAACTATAGCTTGTTTTGCAAATGCAAGACTCAAACAACAAGCTTTGTTATTCTGTTGAGTCAAGCTTCAGTGGCGCCTTAAGCCATTATTCAGGTTAAGTAAATACGTTGGACGCTCCCTAGAACGTTTTATGAGCAGCAATCAGAGAGATTTTATGAGCGTCTAGGAAACCCCTGCTTAAAAACCTATTAACTCTCTCGACACAACTCTGATTTGATCAATATGACAGGCGCAGAGAGCCACTGTGCCGCCGGGATTTGGGCAGGCCGGTGGCGGAGAGTCACCTCGCCTCTCCTGGGAAAAGAATAAAAGATGGACACGCCGATAGAGATAAAGAGTTTCGTGCTAAAAACAACGAGGAACAGTAGCTGATCTATTTCTAATTTTTAAAAGTAGGCTATTGTATGGAGAAATAAGGCCCGCGTCAAGGCCACACGTTAAATTTGTGTATCCGAATTCGTAGTTAAGAAAGCCAAGAGATTATTATTTATTTATTTTTAACTACGATATTTCGCATTAACATTTAACAAAGTTGTACTAGTATGAAATTGTTGTCGAATCCCCGCACAACAAGGGATTTTGCGAGTTGATGAGATGCGGCGGTGGAGGATGACAGCTGTGTGTTATATCCCGGGAGAGCGCGCGCTTGATCGGTCACTTCAGGCTCGAGCTCAGCGCGAGCTTCATGTCATCATGCCGGAGAGCGAGCCGTGACAAGAGTAACGGAGCTTTGCACATCGGATTGCTCAAACTGTATGTCTATTTCATGATCAATACAAGTCGAACTAGTAGGCTAATATCATCAATCTGAGACCGTAGTGATACACTTCAAGTTCATACGCTCTTTAGGGGATTTTAAACACGCGCTCGTGCACTTACTTTTGATTTTGTGAATTCCACACGACAGACTCCAGTGATTTGGCTGCGGGTAACGCGTATCTGCACATGGTTGTGAGAATCCAGAGGTAATATTTCCACGAGCCGCCACTTCCAGCCATCTTACAGGGTTCTCGGAGAGACACGAGCCAGCAAGAAGATAAGATCCTTTCGATCGACTGTACTCCGGGTTACCGAACCACATGCAAAATGAGTAGGTTAGGCGTCCAGGCGGAGGGGCTCCATGGCTCAACTTCCAAATCCAATTTTTCTATCGTTGCTTGGAGGAAAAAAGGTGTCGCACATGTGGTTTTTGGGCCAACGTTTCTCTATTACCAAAATCGCTGCTACCTTGTACTTAGGTAGACTGCAGCGCGTGACTGTTTTATTGTAGTCATCTATTAGTGAGCTGGTAGCCTTACAAAAGGTCAAATCACACCAGATTGGGGGTGAGTGACGTGAACACAGGTATAAGGACCATCAATCCCGTGTTGGGGTTCGGGTTTGTGAAGAAATCCGGTCCTGGTCATGTGTCAGATTTAAAACTAGACTCCTTTCGCTTTTGATCCCAGATCATAGAGATGAGCTTTAGATACGCAACAGTTCTGTCTGAAATTTACCGACCTAAATCCATGTTCAAAGTGTCCAGGAACAAAGCTTAACTGTCAGTCGCAGGACTGCCAAAAATATCTGTCCAATTCCATTTGGATTTTCTTTCAAAAAAGGCACGAGAAATAAACTCCCGAGTTTTGCGGCTGCTTATATTGAATGATCTGGCGTTTCAGTGCATGCTGATAGACGGGGTATCAGCTACTGTCCGCTGCTGGCTCGTGTGCCAAAAGGAGCACACTGTTTCGTCTCAAGGATATAAAAAAAGATGGGGAAACTCCAGCAGTTCGGCGCTGTACTCGCTTCCTCTGCGAGTTAATGACGCGACTTTTAGCCTTGGATCTTGTTTGGATTTGTTCGGCGTTCGACCATGGATCCGGTGCGACCGTAGTCAGTCCTGCACACCGTTCACAGCGCAGTGACTCGCGATACATCACCTCCACTCCCACCGAGATGCTAAATCCCGCCCCGTTCAGAAACGGACCAATCGAAGCGCATGTTTAGGGCGACGTCACAACATGGTGTCCCTCTGTGTACAGCGAGTTTCGGAGAAGTTCTGCAACTGCAAGAGCAAGACTGATGTAGGCTACAAACATAGTTAGTCTGTCATTCTTTTAAAGATAAGACGTTTTTGAAAAGTAACGTTAGTTGAATTTAAGATACCCATTGTCATCAGTTTTTTTTGTGCAGATTTACTATGACACAAATTAATGTTTTCTTTAGAAGCCGTATAGCGAGATTGTTTGTTACTATGGTTACTCCTAGATACGTTTATCTCTTATGTTGCATTTTCGTTTTCCCTCTCAGTTTATACTTTTCGCCAAGATATGCACTTCTGGAGTCATATGAATACGTAAGTCAGTTTTACATTCACAACGCATAACGGCTTAAAGCTGAAAACACGGGTCTTCACCGTACAAGTGTTTAATAACAGATTTAGTATCATTATCCCAAAGACATCCAAGAGAGTGACACTAATGATATTTGATGGTCAAACAAAGATAACGCTAATCCTTTCAGTAGTCAATAACGCCCCCTATTGGCTATAAAAATAATAATTTTAATATTTCAACCTGTAACATTTCGTTTTTTGGACTTGTATTTCGTTTTTATTTTGTTGTTGTTTTAGTGGAACACTGGCAGATAGTTACAATACTGTACAACAAACGGTGGCATGTTACAATATTAAGTGTGTCATAATTAAGCTGGTTTACTTCTTAATAATTTCATTTGTCCATGTCTGCTAACAAAACTATCTGTAAATAAGGTCTATGGCTAATTTGTTTCCTCCTCCCTCAGTAAGATGTGATTCTGAGTGACATATGGTGTCCTGTCCTGTCAGTCTACTATACAATGTGTGTGTGTGTGTGTGTGTGTGTGTGTGTGTGTGGTTCTTCAGAGAGCCATATGTCTTGAGATGGGTTAGTCCTCTGGCTTGTGTTTAGATAACATGAGTGTGGTGCAGCTTTTACTCTTTGAGCTCTTGTGTGTGTGAAATGTCAGTTTATTCATTACCCACATTTAGATCAGGTCTGAAAGACCAGCCACACATTTAGAAATGATATATGTGCAGTCATGTGATCTGTTTAAGGCAGAGAGAGGAGTTTGTGTTCTGAGATAGATGACTTTAAAAGTAGTTAGCAGCAGCACGTTTTTAGCTGTTTTCCGTGTGATTCTTTCTGGAGTTTTGTGTGTAATAATGTTTGCATGTCCCTTTGCATAAGTACAAATATCTGACCTTTTCTTATTTCACCAGTACTCAGAGCTAAATATAGCCCCCACCTTAACCTGACTATTATTGAGACCTTTCAGCTAGTTATACGCCCTCTTTTTCCTCTCATTTTTCTTTAATGTGCTCTTTGTGAATCTGAGATGATCTGACGTTTAGTACTTCTAGCCTGAATTGAAATATTCATTGCATCAAGCTCAGAAAGAGCAAAACCACATACACGCCCAAGGAGAAATTACTGCCATGCATTTGTCAGCAGCTATTCACTAATATGTCCACACTGCTGTCTGAACACAGTTACTAATAAACCTAAAGCGCACATGGACACACAGACCCACACATACACACATAAGCACTTTGAACTTTGCATACAAAGATGGTAACTAAGCACATACATGCACATATTTATTTGTAGGGTGTGTGTGTGTGTGTGTGTGTGTGTGTGTGTGTGTGTGTGTGTGTGTGTGTGTGTGTGTGTGTGTGTGTGTGTGTGTGTGTGTGTGTGTGTGTGTGTGTGTGTGTTTGTTTGTGTTTGAAATAAGTATTTTATACTTGTCAAGGCTGCATTTACAGTATTGTATATTATTATAATTGAATAACTGTTTTTTTATTTTAATATATTTTAAAATATGATTTATTCCTGTAATGCAAATCTGAATTTTCAGCATCCATTACTTGGACTTTTTATCATTATAATGTTTATTTCGATGTTTACTTCTAGATTCATTTTTTAAACTAAAACTAAAAGTCACTCCAGCATATACATCACATTTTGAAGTAGCCTAGTACATACTCTATACAGTCAATCTATGTAATCCCTGTTTTCCTGTGTACATGCTTGAGTGTTAAAGTCTGAGCACTTGTTACCAGGCAGCAAAAAGTTTAGATAAAGTCGATTGGGCGGTAATGGTGGCTTAACGTGACTCTGCCCTTATGAACTTTATTATATTACTAATTGACATCATTGTTAGTTAAGCTAAGTTAGCATTCATGTCTGCATGTGTATAAAGGTGCATATGTTTGTGCATGTTTGTATGGGCGAAGGCCTTACATTGTGTAATGTTGAATTTGGTCCAAAATACAGTAGATTAACTAAAGAATGTTTTGGAATAGTCTCACTGGGGAAGGTGTGTGTGCGTGTGTGTGTGTGTGTGTGTGTGTGTGAGAGAGACGAGGAGGTGGAATGACTGTAATGGAGGGACTCAGGAGGGTGTTGATGGAATATGCAAGCAGATAATAGACCAATTTCACACACATCCCCCGCTCCAGCACACACACTTCTCTCTCTTATTCTCTCTCTCCTACACTAGTCAGTAGGGAATCATGAATGACAATCCAACACTGCCCCACCCAGAAAGCCCCCGATAGGCCTAGCTCAACACACTGAGAACTGCTCGGACCAAAAAGAGACACATGCATATACAGGCTAGTTAAAAAAGCACTGGTAAAACCAGACACCTACACATGCACATGGACCCGCATGCGGTGTGCCAGTCCTCTATGAGTATGTGTATCTGGGAACACAGCCATAGGCAGATGATCTGGTTGTCACAGTGAGCAATGGGCTCAAAAACTTCTGTGTCAGTATGCGTGAATAAGTGTGTGTGTGTGCGTTTCTGAACCGGTAAACTTGGCGTGAAATTGTGGTGGCGACTGTGACGGATCTTCATTTCCACTCTGACAGTGGTGCTCACACACACACATTACTATACCTTTGTTCTTAGACAACAGGTTGTAGAAAGAGAAAAGTGTGTGTGTGTGTGTGTGTGTGTGTGTGTGTGTGTGTGCTGCTTGCATGTATCAAGTAGTACTAAATAAAAGTCGTGTTAAGTGCCCTTAATGATTGTTTAAAAAACCCATTATGTTCGGCAAATGGATCCTGTATTGATTTCATGTCATTGTACGAGTGTCCGTGTCTCAGGTTTGATCGTCTTTCCTGACTCTTAAATAATGTATTTCTAATGGACTCTACGATGCACTTACATACTCCATTTAAACGTGACAGGATTCCGATCAATCACCGATCAATAACCTTTAACCTCGGCATGCAGGTTGCTCTTAACCACAGAACTGCATTCCGTTCAGACACAGAGTCGGCTGGTGATTGTTTTACATCTCAACAGGGAGATTTTTGTTGCATTGTGTCATGGCTAAAGACCTTCCAGTCTTTCACTCCTCAGTTTTAGCATAATTCTTTTGAAATGTTGTCGGCAAAGAAATCTGTCAAGATCCGGTTTTGGTATGAGAGGACATGTGAGGTCATATTTATGCTACTAAAATATTTCCACAGAGAGAAAACAATTATCATAAGGTGAATTAGAGAAAGGTTAATGGATTGAATCTGGTTATAACAAGTTAAATTAACAGTCACTGTATAGTTTTAGTATGAGTGGCATAAAAACAGTGCCAATTTAATATTAAAGGACAAGTTCGGTATTTTACACTTAAAGCCCTGTTTTAAGATCGTTTCTGATGAAATAGAACGGTTAAGATTAAAATTTGGACACATGCTGCTGGCCCGAGAATTTCCGGTTTCTGTGGTTGCACCCCACCTCCACAATGGTTGCATAGGTGCACTGGAACAATCCTTCCTAAAACGCATTAAACTTTAGTTTACAAAGACGTTAAACTCACCGAGTGGTCAGGGGTGTTCACTGATATGCTCACACAAAAATCGCTGCAAAAGATGCTTTACAACAGGTTTTATCGTAGTTTTTGTCCAACTCCATTGACTTGAAACTATGATAAAACCTGTTGGAAAGCATCTTTTGCAGCGATTTTTGTGTGAGCACATCAGTGAACACCCCTGACCACTCGGTGAGTTTAAAGTTAAATATAGTATAAAAATAGTCTAGGTCTTGACTGAGTAAATTGCAAACTGCAATGAAATATAAGTTTTTAATAACTGTTCTATAATTTTTGTTTAGAATTGTTAACATTAATCTGAA